TGCACACCTTCACACTTGACACAGGTGCCTCACACTATTTCTTTCGTGACAGCAACACCCTCACTCCTCTCTCTGCACCTTTACCGGTCAGGCTAGCTGACCCCTCCGGGGGCCCAGTCCTCGCCCGTTCCTCCACTGTGCTCCCGTGTCCGGCAGTTCCGTCCGGTTCACTGTCAGGCCTTGACGTCCCCTCATTCTCTACGAACTTGGTGAGTACCGTTGCCCTCCAGGACGCGATGGTCACTACCACCACACCTGGGGGTCAGCGTGTGTCGATCTGCACGTGTACACGGACGGGCCGTCACCTGGCCACGTTCACTCGTCGGCCAAGGTCGAGTCTGTACACACTGGCTACCGAGCCTCCTCAGGTAGCTGGGTCTGCTCAGGTGTCCGCGTTAGGTCCGGTCGCACCCCCTTGCTCGTGTCGCCTCCTATCACACCAGACCCTTCTGTGGCACCACCTACTGGGTCACCCCTCCCTGCCACGCCTTCGTGGCATGCACTCCCGCCTCCTTGTCTCTGGTCTTCCCAGGTCTCTACCTCCCCTCCCGCCCTCGCCTGCCCCGCCCTGCCTTCCCTGCGTCGAGGGGCGGCAGCGCGCCGCTCCTCACTCCTCGTTTCCCTCGACGACTGCTCCCCTGCAGACCCTCCACATGGACGTGTGGGGCCCAGCCCGCGTCAGTGGACAGGGCCGCGAGTGCTACTTTCTGCTGGTTGTTGATGACTTCACGTGGTACACAACGGTCTTCCCCTTGTGCAGCAACGGTCAGGTCGTTGATGTCTTGATCCCTTGGATCCGCACTGTCCGTCTCCAGTTTCGAGAGCGGTTCCGTACGGACCTTCCTGTCCTACGTCTGCACTCTGACAGAGGTGGTGAGTTCTCTTCCGACCTCTTACGGGACTTTTGTCGTGGGGAGGGCATTCTCCAGTCGTTCACGCTTCTGGACTCCCCTCAGCAAAATGGGATTGCTGAGCGCCGCATTGGCCTAGTCTTGGAGGTCGCTCGTACCTCCATGATCCATGCGGCTGCTCCCCATTTTCTGTGGTCGTTTGCGGTCCGGTACACTGCGCATTAGGTCAACCTCTGGCCCCGTGTCTCCTTGCCGGAGACCTCGCCTACACTGCGTTGAACGGGGAAGATTGGCGATGTGTCGGTGTTCCGGGTCTGGGGTTCTCGTGCCTTTGTTCGCGATATGACTGCGGACAAGCTCTCCGCCCGTGCTATTCCCTGTTTCTTCCTTGGCTTTCCCCCTGACGCGCCTGGCTGGCAGTTTTACCACCCCACCTTGCGCCGTGTCTTCCCCTCTTAGGACGTCACTTTTGACGAGTCGGTTCCCTTTTACCGTCTCTTCCCCTACCGCTCTGCTCCTCCCCCACCCTCGCCGCTCTTCCTTGCTCCAGGTCCACCTTCGGTAGACCCCCTCCCCCCCCAGGGTCCTGCTCCCTCAGATGTGTCTCAGGTGGACCCTCTCCCTTGTACTGCGCTGTTGAGGTAGCTGTCGGCTCAGGTGCTGCTCCAGGTGCTGCGTCTAGGGGTGTTGCGTCTGGGGGTGCAGAGCCAGAGGGTGCTGGGTCTAAAGGTGCGGACTCTGGGGGTGCGGAGCCTGAGGGTGCGGCGTCTGTGGGTGCTGAGCCTGGGGGTGCTGGGCCTGAGGGTGTGGAGTCTGGGGGTGCTGAGCCGAGGGGCAGTGCTTCTTCTGGAGGTCCGGCGGGTGCTCCGCCACGACTGTCTCCCCGTACAGAGCCTCTCTCCCTGCAGCAGCTGCGCGAGTGGTTTGCTCAGTGCACCCGTCTTCGGGGTGGAGATGCCGGAGCTGGAGACTCTGCCGCTCGAGACACTGGAGCTGGAGTTGCTGGAGTTACTGCTGGAGCAGGTGGTCCTGGAGGTGCTCGTACTGGGGGTACTGGAGCTGCCGGGACTGGTGGTGTTGGGGGAGCTGGAGCTGGAGACCCTACGGAGCCTGGAGCTGCTGGGGCTGGAGGAGCTGGAGCTGTTGGCGCTGGTGCTGGTAGCACTTACGAGGGAGGCGCTGGAGCTGGAGGATCTGGAGCTGTTGACCCTGGAGCTGGAGGTGCTGGAGGCACTGTGCGGCTGCGACCGTACTTCATTCCCCTGCTTCAGCAGGTTCTTGGTGTCCCGTCTTCTTCTGACCAGTCGCACCTGCCGTTACAGCCAGCCTCCTCACTGCCTTCTCCTTCCCCTTACAGTGAGCAGACCGGCGGTCTTACCGAGTGTCGTGAGCCTGCGTCTCATCCTGCATCCCTTGTTCTCACTGGTCGTCGCATCCCTCATCTGCGTCCCCCTCCTGTCCCTGGCATACACGCTATGGCCCTTCGTCCTTCCTCTGTTCCACTGCGTGTTCCTCTGCCGCCTCCTCCTGCGTCCTCTCTTCCTGCTGTCCCTGACCCTGAGTCTGACCTCGCTTGTGCTGCCAGTCCCACTGTCTCTCGTCTCCTCACCACTGTTGTCACTGACCCTTCCTTTGAGTCCAGTGCTGCGTCTGCCCTCGTTGCTGAGCTAGTTGACTTTGCTGCTGCTTGTCGTCTAGACTACGCCACTCCTCTTGTTGCTGAGTCTGCTGAGTCTGGGTCTGCCGGTCCTCCGTCCGTCGGGGGTGATTGTGCTCTTAGCAGGGACGTCCTTGAGGACAGGCAGGAGGACTTTGAGTGTCTTGCAGCTGCTGTACCTCGTTTCGCTTCCATGCTGCTTGCCTCTGAGGGAGACCTGGATGCACCAGACATCCCGACCCCGCGCTCTTACGCAGAGGCGATTACGGGTCCCTACTCCTCTCAGTGGCAGGCAGCCATGGATGCCGAGATGGCATCCTAGAAGTCCACAGGCACCTACGTCGACGTAGTTCCCCCGTCTCGGGCGAACATAGTCGATGGCATGTGGATTTTCATGGTGAAGCGGCCGCCAGGTTCTCCGCCTGCCTTCAAGGCGCGTTACGTTGCTCGAGGCTTCAGTCAGCGACAGGGGGTCGACTACTTCCAGACCTTCTCCCCCACCCTGAAGATGACTACTCTTTGGGTGTTGCTGCACGTCGCTGCTCAGCGTGACTACGAGTTGCACTCTCTGGACTTCAGCACAGCTTTCCTGCAGGGCAGCCTGCACGAGGAGATCTGGCTGTGCCGCCCACCTGGCTTCACTGGGTCGTTTCCTGCAGGTACCCAGTGGAGCCTCCGCCGGCCAGTCTACGGTCTCCGCCAGGCGCCTCGCGAGTGGCACGACACACTGAGGACTACACTTGCGGCTCTGGGGTTTACTCCTTCGACTGCTGACCCGTTGTTGTTTCTACGCACCGACACGTCGCTGCCGCCGTTCTACGTCCTCGTGTACGTCAACGACCTCGTCTTTGCCACTGCTGACAACTGAGGCACTGACCCTTGTGAAGTCCGAGCTGCAGAAGAGACACACTTGCACTGACCTGGGTGAACTGCGCAGCTATCTTGGCTTGCAGATCACCCAGGACAGAGCACGGTGCACCATCACACTGACTCAGTCACACATGGTGCACCAGGTCCTTCAGCGCTTCGGCTTCCAGTTCTCCTCGCCACAGCCCACTCCTCTGTCTACCGGCCACTCGCTCTCAGCTCCACCTTCGGATGAGTCCGTAGAGCCGAGTGGTTCGTACCCAGAGCTTGTGGGTTGCCTCATGTACCTGATGGCGTGCACACGACCTAACCTCGCGTACCCTCTCAGCCTTCTGGCTCGCTACGTGGCTCCCGGTAGGCACCGAAAGGTGCACTGGGATGCTGCGAAGAGGGTACTGCGTTACCTGTGCAGTACGTCAGGGATGGGGCTCGTGCTTGGAGGACGGGGCCCAGTTGTCCTCACTGGTCACGCAGACGCTTCTTGGGTTGACGACTCAGCTACGCAGCCGTCGTCACTGGGTTACACCTTCAGCCTCGGTTCCGGCTCTGTTTCCTGGCGGTCTACCCGCTCGTCTTCGGTTCTCAGCTCCAGTTGTGAGGCTGAGATCTACGCCGGGGCCATGGCTGCACAGGAGCTACGCTGGCTCACCTACCTGCTGATTGACTTGGGAGAGCAGCCTCGTTCGCCTCCAGTTCTGTACGTAGACAACAAGGCCATGATTGCCTTGTGTCAGGAGCACAGACTAGAGCACCAAACGAAGCACATCGCTCTGCGATGCTTCCTTGCTCGAGAGTTGCTGCAGCGTGGCCAGCTTCGTCTTGCGTACGTGGCCACTATGGCCAACACTGCTGATATATTCACCAAGGCACTTCCGCCTGGTGATCATCAGTGCTTCTCTACTGTGTTAGGCCTTGTGCCTACTTTGCCTCACTTGCTCACTGCATGACTTTGCTTGTACTGTGATCTAAATATATACTTGCATGCAGGGGTTTTTTTATCAGTGTAATTTACTCTGTTTCTCTGAAAATCAGAGTGGTTTTTAGGGGGGCACTCTGTACCTGCTGGGTATTTTTTTTTAGAGTTACTTGTTCTCTGATCAGCCAGGGTTTTTGTGTAAGTTCACTCTGGAGCGCCAGTGTTCCTTTCTCGAATAGTGAGTTTACTCTGAACGGGGGATACATGTACCCCCCCGACCCCCCTAGGTCCCCCTTATCCCCACGATGCCAGTTTGGACCGGAGCGCAGGGGATATCAGTGTTGTTTCGCCCGTGTGTTGGCACAACCTGAGGCGCCGATTGGCCGGAATGGCATATTTCGTGCCAGCGCACTCAACTGGCCACCCAGTGGATACATCGTTGGCTTTGCGTACCCCATCAGCAATGAACAACTCCAACTTTCGGGCATGATACGGCAGCTTCCTGTGGTGCACTGAATTCGTGCGCGGCGCGCACATCCACACCTGTTGCTCGGCAGGCATACGGGGTCACCACCAAACCCCATCCTGTCTGAGCCATTATGTTTCTTCCACCCAGCACTGCTCTTCAACGTTCCAGTCTAGCGAGTGTTCCGAGGGCTTCTCCAGCCACAGCCCCGCCTCCCTAACCTTTTTTTTTGCCGTCAATATCATGGATACTAGCGACGCCGAGGGAGACGCGGCTGATCCCGACGACAGGCCGACATGTATCACACCCCCTGCGACAGGGCTTCAGTTTCTCCGCGCTGTGCATGCAGATAACGCTCGCGATGAGGAGGAGCTGGGCGATGGCGGTACCGAATGGATGCGCCGTCCTGGCAAGGAAAGTGGCGGCATGGAAGATGCGTACGACGATTGGTGTCCTTCTCCGCGCCCGATGAATGACGCTGCTGAGTCCGACGGTGTTGAGGAGTGGATCGCCTCGCCGCGAAACGAGGTTGCTGCAGAGCCGGCTGAAACGGTTGCAACGCAGGTCGTCGATGCGGCCACTCCTGAGTCATCCGGTTCAGTCGCTGTGAAGAAGCGACGGTACACGCAGCAAGTTTTGCAGTGGGGAACACCGCCTCCGAAGCCCGTCGCTCCACCTCCCCGTGCTGCCCCACCCCCCATTCGTCCCCTTACAGACGAGGAGAAGAAGGAGAAGGCGTACCTGAAGGCGCAGAAGAGCTACAAGTCTGATTGGCTGCCGAAGTTTGACTGGCTGATTCTGGACAAGACGCCAGAGGGTGACCCGTGCCTGCGCTGCAGTGTCTGCATGGAGCACGGGAAGGACAACGCGCGTTACGGTCGCAATGGCGCTGGCGGTCGTGATCTGCAGATCGGGTCGATGCGGTGGCACGAGAACAGTGCGAAGCACGAGGACGCCATGAACAAGCAGGCAAACCTTCTGCAGAAGATCGTGGACCAGAAGAAGATTGAAGACTTCGCGAATGGAGATCCGGAAGGCTGTCGCGTCGCGGTACTCATGCGCGCCATGCGTTTTGTGTGCCGTACCGACACACCCATCCACATGTACCCACAGGTCGTGCAGCTTCTCGCAGAGGAGGGGGTCGCCAACATTCCGCAACAAAGCTATGGAGTGTACATCACGCAGTGAGTTGCTGTTGACTGGTTTGTATTCGAAGCAACCGTCTTTGTTTAACGAGGCTAATGCGTTGTGCTATGTGAATGCGCAGGTACGGTTTCTCCGAGATGGCCAAGGCTCTCACCGCGTATCTGACCAGGGAGCAATTGCGCGTCCTCCACGCCTCGCCCTTCATCGGCCTCATGTGCGACGAGAGTACCGATCGCGCCCGTGGCAAACACATGATTGTGTTTGTTACGTTCCTCAAGAACAGCGTGGTTGTAACCGAGTTCCTCGCGTTACTAACCGTGCAGCAATGTGATGCGGCATCGCTCATGGGCGCACTGCTCCAGCATCTCGAGACAGTGGGCGTCGACCTGAAGAAGATATCCGGAATGTCCACGGACGGCGCGGCAGTGATGATCGGGGGCACGTCCGGCGTTGTCACGCGACTGCGCGTCCACGTCCCCCACCTGGTCGGCTGCCACTGCATTGCGCATCGGTACTTGTGTCGTGGCTGATAATTTTAAATGACCGGTTTTACGTTAGTCGATCTTTAAAGTAATGTAACAATCCTTTTCTGCTCACCCCACTATTGCTTGCAGCGAAGCACTTGTTGTGAAGGAGACGGCCGAAGCCGAGCAGTTCCAAGATTTCCGGATGGTAGACAAGGCCATCCGTGCAGTGGGCGAGATCGTGGGGAGATCCACGCCGTGGTACGAGCGGTTCAAAGAGCTCCAGATCGTGATCCACAGCACCAACCTCGAGCACCAGGGACTGTTCGACGTGCGCTGGCTCTCCCGTGCCGATGCGGTCAACCGGCTTGTCAAGATTTTGGGGTCGGCAATCGTGCTCTTTCTGGAGTACAAGCACAAGATCGCCTCGGTTGTGAAGACCCTGAAATTCCACTTCTGTCTGTATTTCCTGGCAGACATTTTGGGGGAGTTGAACTCCCTGAACCGTTTCTTCCAACGACGCAAGGTAAAACGTGCCCTAAAGGATTGTTGATACACGCGTTTAGTCTTGTTTAATTTTCATTTGCCCACACAGACTAACAAACCTTTTTGCGCACATGTCGGTGCGTCAGGTGGAGGTGACGCAAGTCACAGAGGAGGTCGACCGTGTGGTGTCCCTCATCGAGCACCGCTACATCGACTACGATGGTGGTTTCGGGGCGGGTCTGAGCCCCATCCTGTCTCCATTCATGGCACGTGTCAAGAAAGGGGACAAGAAGGTGAAGGTGGACGGCGTGGACGCTAGCGGCATACCCGTCAAGCACACCTTCGAGCTCAGCGAGCTGCCGGACAAGAAGCACAAGTTCGGCGGGACGCTTGCAGATTGCGTGAAGTTGGGCAAGGCCTTCGCCCGCGAGGTCGTGTACAACCTGAAGCACCGCATGCGAGATCTTCGTCGAATGGGCGGCTTGAAGCTTTTCAGGGTGGACAAGTGGCCAGCGAATCCGGACACGCGTGTGAGACGTTGTGCCACGTGGCTCCGCGAGAACTCTAAACTCTTCAACCACCAGCTGCCAGGTATGTGTATATCTTTTCGATCGTGTATGTGTGCTTTCCCTATAATAATGCCTCTCGTCAATGTGTACCTAACATTTCCGTACATAAAAAACGCTGTGCTGCGCGTACTGTTTTGGCAGGATTCGAACTGCGGGCAGCCGAACTTGAGCTGAAAACTTTCTGCCACGTCATGAGGACGCACCACGAGGACGAGGACTTCTACCAGGCGCTGACGAACATGCTGAGGTCACGCGACTGGCGGCGAACTTACCCCAACATCATGACCCTGTGGCAGGCGTTGGCCGTCCTGCCACTCAGCACCGTCGAATGTGAGCGTGGATTTTCACGGCAGAACATCATCAAGAGCTGGCAGCGCACGGCTCTCAACGACACGCGGCTCACCGAACTCATGAGCATCCACATGCTCGATTACAACGTGGAGTGGCCAGATGTCGTGGACATCTGGCGCAAGCAGAAGAAGAGGCGGCCTACAAAATCCCCTGCACCCTTCCAACCAGCCAATGACAAGGGCGGGCCAGAGGCCAGTTCGGACGACGAACGGGAGGATGACGTGGCTTACGATGAGTGAGCTTGTGGTAGTAGGTCATTGTGTACAAAGTTTAAAAAATTCAATAATTCTGGCAATGCAACAGCAATAGCAAACAATGGGTAACCATCAGGGTTACAGATGAAAGTTACTCTGAGGTAACAGGGTTTTTAAAATGACAGCAAGTGTTACACTGACATCTAAGAGCAACGCTCGCCAGCCACTCTGGATTTAAGGGTTAGGCCAAAAACGCCTCTGGAAACAAGAGTGCTCCAAAATAAAAAAAAAAGCCCTGCTTGCATGCTAACACATGCTAGGGTTTGATCACTGTATTGTTTGTTCTCTTTATATAACTCTGCATGTGAACTGGCCTTGTGGCCGTTTGCTTGTGCTCGGACTGTGTGGTGACTCTGTGATCCACCTTGAGCTTGCTTTGCTTTTCTTGATTGGTCTTGTGACCACTTGTTCTCCCCCACTTTGCCTATGGGGGTGTGTCAGAATGTTATAGTGCTTACATTTGTGTAGGATATAGTGGGGTAGCCGATAAGGGGTACAACCAAATTAGGGTTAGTACTTGTACCCAACTTTCTGTTCAATGCAACCATTCGCGTTCGTTATCTTGACAGTTTCACGTCACTCTGGCCGTTCGCATTCGTACTCAATTGTGCATGCTTCTTGTGACGAACACGATTGCAGTGCACTCAGATTTTATTTATCGTAAAAGCTATTTTAAGGTTTTCCAAGAGTATTTCTTGTCGTAACAGAACTCACTTACTACATATGTTATGTCACACATTAGTCTGAACTCAATTATGCTCATAGTGGTCAGAATGCAACTAGTACATTATTGTGTTTTCGTGCTTCGTATAGATTGGCGTACCGAGGACGCGTACCGAGGACGCGTGAAGCACAAGAAAGCAGCGATGGCCCGAGACGAACGAGAGTGGCTTGGTTGATATGTGAGACTCGGGCAAGCAAGAGCCCGCGCAGGAGCATCGCTTCCATGAACGCATCGATACCATTCAGTTGGATGTCTCATCGCACGCCACCTCTGCATGCCGTCAGATCCAAGTGACCAAATCCTTTTGCGCAGGGCCACATCGACGAATACTGTTTGCTGTGTGGCGTCACGCTCGTGCGAGGCTCACCTGCGTGGAAAGTGACCACCCCCGTTCTCCCATCATCTTCCCCCTCTCCCTCTCTGCTCTGCGCTTTCTCTCCTCCCCATTCGCCTCATATCCTTCCGCGTACTCCCTTCTTCCGCTCTCTGTCTGATGGCCCCCGCTACCATCTGCTCTGCTCATCCTCAGATTCCCTCCCGCCTGGCGCTCCTCCCCCTTTCCCGTCCCCCTCCCCTCCTGGTAGTACTGCACTGCAGCAGACCTCTGCGATGCGCTGCGCTCCGCTCCGCTCCAGCGCATCCTCTTCCCGCCAAGCAGCGCCATCCTGAGCCAGGCCAACAGCATCACTCAGAGGCCTTCCATTTGCTTTGCTTACACCAGAGAGATCAAAACCAGGCATGCAGCCAACATCTTGTCAGTTTTCCCACATAGTGTCTAACAACGCAGGACGAATGTTCCTTGCTGCGCTCCCACGACCTCTTGCGATCACTCGAAAATCGAGTTTTGGTTTTTGTATTTTTTTTACTATTTTTTCGGACCGTACGAGTTTGTTTGTATAGCCTTTGTTCCGATTTTTTTTCCGAATCTTCAACTCGTACTTGCGTTCTTCTAGGTTCTCCTCCAGTAGCTGGATTCAGCATCGATTAATAATCACAAAGCAGTAGAAGAAGATGCCGCCGTTCCGGTTACCGCCAGGGTTCCGGTTCCACCCGACGGACGAGGAGCTGCTGGGGTACTACCTGCAGCGGAAGGTGGAGAACCGCCTCGTGGACGACGGGCTCATCGTGGAGGTCGACATTCTCAAGTGCGAGCCGTGGGACCTGCCCAGCCAGTCGTGCCTCGAAGCCGGCGAGTGGTACTTTTTCTGCGCTCGCGATAAGAAATACCCGCACGGGTCGCGCGCCAATCGCGCCACGGCGAAGGGGTACTGGAAGTCGACCGGCAAGGACAAGCCCGTGCGCAGCTCGCGCACGTCGCGACAAATCGGGATCAAGAAGACGCTCGTGTTCTACCTTGGAAGGGCGCCACGTGGCGAGCGGACGGACTGGGTGATGCACGAGTACCGGCTGGAGCCCGAGGCGCGGTCGCGCAGCGGCCCCGCGGCAGACTACGTGCTGTGCCGCGTTTTCAACAAGAGCGCCGGCGCCGCGGATACCGCGTTGCCCATGGATCAAGACGACGGGCAGCCCACTTCGAGCGAGCCGCCGTGGAAGACGGGAGGAGGCGGAGGAGGAGGTAATACTCTGGGTGGTGTGTCGCCGACGGGTGTGGGTGGTGCGGGTGGTGCGGGACAGCCCGTAAAGTTTGGGGAGAGCGGAGCTGCGGGAGGCGCGGAGGAAGCGGGCGCGAGCGACGCGGAGTCGGAAGGCGCGCTGACTACCACCACCGACCTTCACCCGTTCTTCCAGGAACCTTCCACCCGCAGCGACGGCACGAACGGCTTCTCCGTCGTTCCCGAGTCGCTACACGCCCCTGCCGCCGCTTACCCGTCCGTGCCCGCTTTCCCCGCTGCAGACGCGTCATTCGTCCCGCCAGGCACGTTCGGACCGCCGTTGCAGGAACCGGGGTTTCCGGATTTCCCGTTCGAGCTGCCGCCGGTTACGGAGATGGGGCACATGGAGGGCGGCGCGGAGAATCTGATGGACATTCTGGGATTGGAGGAGGTCGATCTCGTTTCCGTCGACCCTGCCGCCGCGCCGCTTGTGCCCGTTGCCGCGCCGGATGTGTCGGCTACTGCGAGCGGGATTGCGGGGAGCGGATCGGCGCGGCAGGAGGCGGAGAGCGACGTGGATGTGGACGGATTGTGGGAGAACATTCATTGGCAAGCGGGCGCTGCGGCGGCGGGACACGTGGCGGAGCATGGGGCGGACCACGTGGCAGAGGCGGAGGAGTGGAATATACCGATGGAGGGCGGCGAGGAGTGGTTGGGCGAGCAGCTGCCGGCGTTGAATCTCCCCGAAGGCATCTCCATCGACGACTTCCTCGAAGACGCGCTCGTCGCCGACGACCTCTACGAAAACCACGCCGCTCTTCCCGCCGCTCCTGCTGTTCTCGCTGCGCCGGGTGCGCGTGCGATGGCTGCACCCGGTGGTTTCGCACCTGCTGCCCTTGCTGGCGCAGTTTTCGGCGCCGCGGCGGCCGCGCCCCTGCGATCAGCGCGCGCCGCAGGCACAGCCACCATTGCAGCCGCCGCCGCAGCGCTGGCGAAGGCCAAAGCGGCACAGGGCGCAGCCGCAGCAGCAGGGGGAGGCTTCCCACCTCTCGCTGCCGCTTCCAATTCCGGCCTCGCTCGCTTCGCCGCCGCTCCCGTGGGTGCCACCGCCACGAGAGCGCTCGTGCGTCCGAGGTCGCGGCCTGTGCGCGCTGCTGGCGCCGTCATGCCGGCCGCCGGCGCGTCGGTGGCAGGGCGACGCGTGCGCATGCAAGTGTTCAACCCGCCGCAGCTGGCGGGTGGCGGCGGCGGAGCGCGGCTGGCGAGCAGCGGCAGTCGCAGTGGCGTGCCGTCGTTGAATCTGGACGCGCGCCCAACTCCTCACGTGCACGCGCAAGCGCGTCTTGCCCAGGTATTGCGATATATTAAGCGGCGGTGACTGCTGTTCAAACTTTCTTCTTTTTTTTCAGGCCTTGTCCTGTTTTCGGCTAGTTTTGCCTGCTTCTTCCCGTATTTTTTTCCTTTTCTTGACTGTTCCGCGCCTCCCTCCTCTCCATCTCTTTTTTAATCAGGCCGGTGGAAGTTTGAATGATGAGGACTGTCTGATGGGGTCGCAAGAGTGGGCTAGGGGGATGGATCAGCATGAGGGCATGGTAGCAGCAACACCCGTAGCAGCAACACCCATAGCAGCGTTTGACGGGCGGGGTCTGGATTCACGTATGGAACTCAGCGCCGTTGCAGGTACACCGCGCTAGCCACCACCGTCCACTCGTGTCGACATTTGTCACGTCTTCCCACCCCACGTGTCACGCCCGCTTCTTACTCTCTGTTGTGTTTTCGCGAGGTTGTTGCCTCTCCCTTGTCTGACGTGGCGGTCGCTGATGGTCCGTGCATGTGTCTCTGCGCGTGTGTGTGTCGCCCCCTCCTCTATTCTCGTGCGGCAGACGTCACAATGCATTTCGGCGTGGAAGACGTGGAAGGACACGGGGCGCGGATGACACACCACCCTGCTCACGCCCACACGCATGCTGGTGCGGGTGATTATGCTCCTGCTGCCGGCGCCGCTGCTGGCGCCGCTGGTGCTGCTGCAGACGGTGCGTTTGGTGGTGCTGCTGGGCCGGCAGGTGCGCTGTGGGTGGTGGGGCAAGAGGAGGAAGGAGTACGGATATTGCCCGTGCCACAGGGCGGCGCGGCAGAGGACGGTGTGGTCGAGGGTGGTGCTGTAGGGCTAGAGCCGGTTCGACTGCATGCACATGTGATTGAAGCGCTTGCGTTACAGCCACACCCGTTACAGGAGCGGGGAGGGCACGCGGAGATGGAAGGGGAGGCGGAGTGGGCGGGACTGAATGATCTAGTGCTGGTTGGTGACGCCGCTACCCTCGCTGCTGCCCCTGCCGCCCCTCCTCCCCCTGCCGCCCTTGCAGCCCCTGCTGCCCTTGCTGCCCCTGTCGCCCCTCCTCCCCCTGCCGCCGTTGCAGCCCCTGCTGCCCTTGCTGCCCCTGCCGCCCCTCCTCCCCCTGCCGCCGTTGCAGCCCCTGCTGCCCTTGCTGCCCCTGCCGCCCCTCCTCCCCCTGCCGCCGTTGCAGCCCCTGCTGCCCTTGCTGCCCCTGTCGCCTTTGCCGATCCTGCAGGTGCAGCTGGTGTTCCTGTAGCGGATGTTTCCCTAGCGGTCGAGCCTTTAGCTGGTCTTCCTCTAGCTCATCATTTGTTAGAGCCCCCTGTTCCTGGTGCTCCTGCCAGGGCTGCTGCCGCCCTGCCTCGCGCGGCACCAGCCCCACGTGTGGCCGCTGGGCCGCATCTAGCCCCTCCGCCCGTCCCTGCTGCACAAATGGCCGCTCCTGCTGCTGCGCCTGCAGCTCCTGCCTTACCTGCCGCAGCGGGGGGAGTGCTTCCGGCCCCTGCAGGAGCAGCGGAGGCGGGGGCAGGCGGAGCAGCAGCTGGTGCCGTGGTGCTTGGGGCGGCAGCAGGGCGTGCGGTGGTGGAAGACGGAGGTGCGGCGGCTCTTGACGTGCATCATGATCCAAGAATGCGGGAGCACGGAGGAAGGGAGGAGCGTGGAGGAGTAGAGGGGCATGGAGGGGAGGGAGGCATGGAGGGTGAGATGATGGATGGTCATGGTGATGGCGAGATGGTTGGCGGTGGCGACGGCGAGGGAGGTGCAGGGGTGGTTGTTGCAGGCGGCAGGGAGATATTACTCGCAAGACAGCAGCCTCTGCAGCAGGCGAGGCTGCAGGTAGGAGGAGGTGGCGACGTGGCTGGCCGCCACGAGGCTCAGTTCAACGTTCCACAGCATGAGGAGAGGGGAGATGCAGATGTGAGGAGAGGCAGGGCAGGGCGGAGTAGGAGCAGTGAAACCCCGATGGAGGCGGAGGGGCCAGCAGGCCCCACTGCAGCAACTCCATCCCAGATGATGCCGACACTTAGTGTGCTGCCAGCCGGCAGCGCTGCAGCACAAGCGGTGTGCGCTGGTGGCCTTGAGCGCGCTTTTAAGACTTCAAATATTGCTCAATCCGACGACGCTTCCGTAGCACAGGCGGAGAAACTTACAACAGCAGCAGCAGGCATTTCAGCAGCTGCTGTTAAATCGCTGGTCGTGGCAGCGTCTGCTGCAACAGCCAGTGCTGCTTCCTCAGACTGCGTAAGTGCAGTCGATGCAGTGGATTCAGTGGCACAGCTCGCAGTGCATCCTTTGACGCCTGAGCTAGAGGAGGCAGCAAGGGAGGAGGAGATTGGCGACCAGTGGTGTGTGTGTGCGCGCACCCGGCCCATAGCAGACCTCATCGCACAGTCCAAGAAGACACGTGGGCAGCGCCACCCGTGGCAGCAGTTCCTGCCCACTCGCCGCTCCATCAACCTCGGAGCTGTTGCTCCCACAGCAGCAGAAGCAGCACCAGCAGCAACAGCAGCAGCAGCAGTGACAGTTGCAGCAACAGCAGCAGGGGCAGGGGCAGGTGTAGAGGCGGAGGCGGCACCATCCAAAGCAGGATCAGATTCAGCAGCCTCCGTCCTCCAGCCCGTGAAGCCTCGTGGCCCAGCAGGGCCAGCGACGGTAATTTCCAAGGGAGGGCGCGTGGGGGGAGGCAGGCCGATGCACTCGCTGTCGCGTGCCGGGGCAGGAGGGGGAGGGTCAAGGCCGGCTGGGGGCCTGCGGCCCGCTCCCCGGTACCTGAGCGGCGTGCTGCAGCTTCTGTCCGCCCTCCCTGCTCGCCCTGCCCATGCTGCTGAGCTGGCTGCAGGCAGAGGGGCGGCAGGTGGCTTGCAGGGTGAGGGAGCTTCAGGGGAAAAGGGCGGTGGGGTGGAGAAGCAGGTGGAGGTAGAGGAGTGGAGCGAGGAGGAAGAGGAAGAGGAGGTGTTTGAGTCGCGCTGGTGGGTGGACTCCGAAGGGAGGGTGGTGCACAAAGACAGGCTGCTGGGGGTTAGTGGCAGGGGATGGAGAAGTGGGAGAGGAGCCTTAGAGATGGAGGAGTGGGAGGTGGAGACAGAAGAGGTTGAGACAGAGGAGATTGAATCAGAGGAGGTTGATGTATTGTCGTCTGTGGTGACTGATGAGGAGAGTGCTGACCCTGACTTGCAGGACACTGCCAGCAGTGGAGGGTCCGTGGGGTCTGGCGGAAGCAGGCAAGTGGCTAAGCAAGTGGGGAGTATCGAGGGGAGGAGTAATGGCAGGACGAGCAGCAGCAGGGTGGTGCGGCGGCACAGAGTGACGGTCGCCACGGGGTGGGTTGAGCGGCCGCACCAGGCAGACAGAACTCTAACTCTGCTTGCAAAAAAAAAAAACATGGCCAGGGCCAAAGGTTATGGTCCTGTGAAGGCAGAGTTGAGTGGCAGTGTGGGCAGCAAGGGGCAATTGAGAGAGCTGGAGGAGCTGGGGGAGTTGTCGCCCTGGACGCTGCTTGCTCTGCTGCTGCGGCCGCTGGTGGTGGCCGTGAGGCGATGGCTTCATGAGCAGAGGCTGCTGCTGTGGGTGGCTGTGGCGTTGTGTTGTGTTGCTGTGGGTGTGCTCTTGGCACCTGCGTGGCGTGTTCTGCCTCGCTTCGTGGCCGTGTGAGATGAAGATTAGAAGGTGGCTGCTTGAATGCTGCAAAAATTTGCAGCTCTGTTGGCTGAAAAACGGCCACCATCGGGAATGAACTGCTGTTGTAAAATAGAAGATTGAAACTCCTGAAATGGAGATACAAATAAAATGTTTTCATTTGTATAATCTGTATAAAAGCTTTCTTTAAACTGGGATTAAATCGCCCATGTTCAGCTGCACTTTCTTGGAAGAAAACAGGTCTAATTTACTTCTCGTTTATTAGCGCGGTTGTAAACGGTTGTGTACCTTCCCTATGCAAAACGCGGGGTTTCAGTGCGGTGACCGGGTCGATCTCTCCCGAACGAGCACTTTTACCGCATTGTGAACATGCTCTGGTGGGTCAGGATTTCCTAGAAATGCCGAGCAAGGATGCAAACCACATTTCCTAACCCCAAAAAACGTCGAATAATTGCATAACACAGTGCTTGCAGGTTGCGAGTCTCGACCCTACAATTCACGGATCGTAGAATAATCCACTTGTTTGCGACAACACGGTAACGCCATGGCGGGAGTGAAGCGGGCTCGGCGCGCAGCGGCGTCGTCGCGGTCGCCGTCGCCGGAGATGGACGTGCTGTACTACAACCTGCTGCTCGCCGCGCTGCGCGCCCGCCAGGAGGCCGGCGTCGCGTACTACGGCGCGTTCGTCGCCGACCTTGAGCCCGTACCGCCCGACCTCTACGCGCACTGGGTGCCGCCGCCCGGCTCCTTCGCCGTGCAGCGCGCCGACGGCGACGACGACGAGCGCGGCGCGGAGGACGAGGACGCGGCAGGGCGGGACGGCGCGGACGACACGGACGCGGACGCGGGGGAGCACGCGGGGTCGGACGGCGAGGGGGGCGCGGACGACGCATCGGCGGAAGCGGTGGTTGCGCGCAGGGGTCCGGGCAGGCCGCGGTCGGCGCGGAGCCGGCCGGGCGCGTCAGCAGGCGGGGCAGCGGCGGGCGGGGAGAGCGGCGGCGCGGCGGCGAGCGAGGAGGCGATGATGCCCGCGTGGCTGAAGGAGCTCATCGCGGCGGACAGGGAGAGGGCCGCGCAGCAGCAGCAGGGCGGTGAGCAGGGCGGGGCCGATCAGCAGCAACAGGGGGCGGAGGGGTTGTCGTTCCCCGTGGTGGACAGCAACATGATCCGCGGGTCGTTCCCCGCCGCCGTGGCCGCCGTGCGCTTCCTGGAGCGCGCCCGGCGCCGCCTGGGGGGGCTGCCGGGGCGCACGGGGGAGGTGGAGATGGGCGGAGGGGTGGGCGGAGAGGGGGAGAAGTGGAAGGACCGCCTGGCGGAGGAGATGATGACGTCAGCGCTGGGGGTGAAGGGCACGCTGGGGTCTAGGGAGGGCGGGCGAGGGCGGGAGGGCGGGGGGGAGAAGATAGAGCGGTGGACGCCCAACGAGGACGCCATCCTGCTGGTGGGCCGCGTGCTCTTCGGCACAAGATGGATCAGCATCGAACGCATCCTGCCCGGCCGGTGCGTGTGTGTGTGATGGCGTGCCCACTGCAGCTCACTCTCGCTGTGCTGCCCCGCATGCTCCTTTACTCGCATCCCCGCCGCCCCATCGTCCATCTCCACGCACCACGGTGCAGGTCCATACAGGCCATCAAAACGCGCTGACTCAACGACCTCAAGCGTACCGCGTGCGGGCTAGTGTTGAAGGGCATCCGCTGCGCGTAAATAACACCCTCGTTTTGACCCAGTGGGTAGCGAGGCGTTATATCAAGGGACTCCCGCGCCTTTTGAGGAACCTCAAAGCTTGCCTCGTCGCGCCCCACTTCCCATCCCCCCCACCCCCCCGAACCCCCCCTCCGTGTGCATGCAGGTCGATCCAGGCCATCAAGACGCGGTGGCTCAACTACCTCAAGGGCCTCTTCCGCCGCCACCGTTGGTGCACCTCCGCCCTCGCCCCCCCCCTCTCCAAGGAGGCCGCCGCCCTCCTCCCCCCGCCCCCCTCCCCCCCGCCCACCCCTCCCCCCGCGTCCGCCCCTTCCACGTCAGTAGCCACTGAGGCTGTTTCAGCAGAGGCACGCGCGTCCACCCCTCCGCCCTCTGCTACTGCGGCTGCTGCTGCCAGTGCCCCCCTTGCACCCCGCCCCCACCTCTCTCTCCCCCTGCCTGCATCGGCCACCCCCCCACCCTCTGCCCCTCCCCCGCCCGCCCCTGTGGCGGCGGCAGGCAGCCAGGGGGCTGCAGGGAGGGCGCTGCTCAGCATGCCGGCTGTGCCACCCGCTGGAGCAGCTGCAGATGGTGGCGCAGGCAGAGCAGGGGGAACAGTGGGCGCTGCCCCAGGAGCTGCTCCAGGGGCTGCTTCAGGTGGTGCTGGCGGTGGCGTGGTCACATCAGGAGTAGGGGTCACGCCAACCAAGCGATCGCGCTCCCAGTCCTCCCGCCCCCCCGCCGCCACGCCCACGGTTCCCACGGCGGCACATGGTGGCCAGGAGGAGGGGGGAGGGGAGGTGGATGCTGGCGGGGAGGAGGAGCGGGTGCGGCGGCACGAGCGGTACCTGACGTGCCTCATGCTGCGCGCTGAGAAGGGCCCGCCGCCGCACTCCCTCGCCGCCACGCACGAGCTCTACTGCTTCGCCTGCAAGTCCTCCGAGGGCCAGCTGTCGCCGTGCTATTGGTCGGACGAGGCAGTGGAGGCGACGGCGGCGGAGTGGGGCGGTGGGGGAGGGGCGGTGGTGGGGCTGATTCCGTGCGCCAAGGCTTACCATGCTCGCTGCGTGCATGCTGCAGTCAAGGTGAGTCAATGGGTCGAGGTGAGTCAATGGGTCGAGGTGAGTCCATGGGTCGAGGTGAGTCAATGGATCGAGGTGAGTCAATGGGTCGAGGCGAGTCAATGGGTCGAGGTGAGTCAATGGGTTGAGGTGAGTCAATGGGTCGAGGTGAGTCCATGGGTCGAGGCGAGTCAATGGGTCGAGGCGAGTCAATGGGTCGAGGCGAGTCAATGGGTCGAGGCGAGTCAATGGGTTGAGGCGAGTCAATGGGTCGAGGCAAGTCAATGGGTCGAGGCGAGTCAATGGGTCGAGATGAGTCAACGGGTCGAGGTGAGTCAACGGGTCGAGGTGAGTCAATGGGTCGAGGTGAGTCCATGGGTCGAGGTGAGTCAATGGGTCGAGGCGAGTCAATGGGTCGAGGTGAGTCCATGGGTCGAGGTGAGTCAATGGGTCGAGGTGAGTCCATGGGTCGAGGTGAGTCAATGGGTCGAGGTGAGTCAATGGGTCGAGGCGAGTCAATGGGTCGAGGCGAGTCAATGGGTCGAGGCGAGTCAATGGGTCGAGGCGATTCAATGGGTCGAGGCGATTCAATGGGTCGAGGCGAGTCAATGGGTCGAGGCAATTCAATGGGTCGAGGCGAGTCAATGGGTCGAGGCGAGTCAATGGGTCGAGGCGAGTCAATGGGTCGAGGCGAGACAATGGGTCGAGGCGAGTCAATGGGTCGAGATGAGTCAATGGGTCGAGATGAGTCAACGGGTCGAGGTGAGTCAATGGGTCGAGGTGAGTCAATGGGTCGAGGTGAGTCAATGGGTCGAGGCAAGGATAAAAAATACGACCGAAAAGTTGTCTTTTTACCGTATTATACTGAATCATATTTTTCGGTTGTATTAAATGGTTAAATACGGTCAAAATGTGTTTTTATTGTTTAGTTGAAAAATGCGGTCGTTTTAAACGACTGAAGTTTTGAAACCGAGGCACCCTATAGCGAAATTCACAGATTTCCCCCAGTGGCCCGTCAATGTGAAGTTGCGCACGTGGATATTGTGGCAAGATTGAATGTATCCCGAATCGCGAATTTTATGCCACTTTCGAGTCGCGACATTGAATGCATTTGGCGATGGCAAACGACAGGATTACATGTTTCACCGTCGCCGAATTTCATTCGCCGAAGCGCAACGTGTATTAAAAAACCGAGTCGCGACATTTCGACATTTGGCAAACGGTGCACAACAGCTTACCCGTTTCGCCTTGCCCGTTTCGGAAATTCGCGTCTAGCATCTTATTTTCGCCCACAATCGCGACTGAACCCAATCTTCGCGATGCGAAACCAATCCAGCCAATCGTGTTCCGTCACCTGAACTGACCCCTCTTTCAAAATTCACTTGACACAGCAGTCACAAAGGCACGACTAGGTACTAATAGGAGCACCATAACCTCTAGTACATCAGATCAGAGACGCAATGTTGCGCCCTTTGTCGCCACTGTGGAAATATGTCGTGACGGAAACTGGTCCAGATGGCTCCGTCACTGCGAAATGCAAACACTGCGGCCATACAGTGACGACCAACGCGACACGCATAGGAGAGCATATGTTCGGGACGCCCACGCAGAAAGAGAAGAACGTGACACCCTGCGAGTCCGACGTCGCAAAGCAACTTCGCGCTGATGCAAAGCGGGAGCACTCATCGGTCCATCAAACTGTGCCTCAACTTCTACTACGGTTGAGAACCTGCCCCCTCGTCGTGCTAGGCAGCGCGACATCCGTGACATGGCGGATACGGCTGCTCGCTCACGTTTGGACTACCTCTGGGCAGCGGCCGTTGCGGAGAACGACTGGGTGTTCCAGTGTTCGAAGTCGACAGCGGTGCAGCCATTCATCGATGCGGCGCTCGCCTTCGCGAAGCCATACACGCTCCCTTCCCCCTACAAGGTTGGAGGTCCGCTACTACTGAAGTTGCGGGCGGATACCGAGGGGCTCGAGAAGCTGATGAGGGATAGCTGGGGCAAGCCTGGCTGCAGCCTGACGTGCGACGGATGGACTTGCTTGAATAGCCGAGGGCTTGTCTGCGTTATTGCCCTCAACGACACGGCACCGGTGATTTTTGAAACGGTGGACTCGAAAACGGCAAAGAAGGCTGGTGGGTATCTTGCAAAGCTCCTCTGCAATTCCATTAGCAAGGCGGGGGACAAGGCCGTCGTCCAGGTTGTCATGGACAATACGGCTAATAACCGGAAAGCGGCGGACATTTTGCGCCCCGAATACCCATCCATCTTCTTCAACAACTGTGCTGCGCATGTTCTTGACCTCATGTTCTTGACCTCATGTTCTTGACCTCATGTTCTTGACCTCATGTTCTTGACCGCATGTTCTTGACCTCATGTTCTTGACCTCATGTTCTTGACCGCATGTTCTTGACCTCATGTTCTTGACCGCATGTTCTTGACCTCATGTTCTTGACCGCATGTTCTTGACCTCATGTTCTTGACCTCATGTTCTTGACCGCATGTTCTTGACCTCATGTTCTTGACCGCATGTTCTTGACCTCATGTTCTTGACCTCATGTTTGTTGACCTCATGTTCTTGACCTCATGTTCTTGACCTCATGTTCTTGACCTCATGTTCTTGACCGCATGTTCTTGACCTCATGTTCTTGACCTCATGTTCTTGACCGCATGTTCTTGACCTCATGTTCTTGACCTCATGTTCTTGACCTCATGTTCTTGACCTCATGTTCTTGACCTCATGTTCTTGACCTCATGTTCTTGACCTCATGTTCTTGACCTCATGTTCTTGACCGCATGTTCTTGACCTCATGTTCTTGACCTCATGTTCTTGACCGCATGTTCTTGACCTCATGTTCTTGACCTCATGTTCTTGACCTCATGTTCTTGACCTCATGTTCTTGACCTCATGTTCTTGACCTCATGTTCTTGACCTCATGTTCTTGACCTCATGTTCTTGACCTCATGTTCTTGACCTCATGTTCTTGACCTCATGTTCTTGACCTCATGTTCTTGACCTCATGTTCTTGACCTCATGTTCTTGACCTCATGTTCTTGACCTCATGTTCTTGACCTCATGTTCTTGACCTCATGTTCTTGACCGCATGTTCTTGACCTCATGTTCTTGACCTCATGTTCTTGACCTCATGTTCTTGACCTCATGTTCTTGACCTCATGTTCTTGACCTCATGTTCTTGACCTCATGTTCTTGACCTCATGTTCTTGACCTCATGTTCTTGACCTCATGTTCTTGACCTCATGTTCTTGACCTCATGTTCTTGACCTCATGTTCTTGACCTCATGTGACCTCATGTTCTTGACCTCATGTTCTTGACCTCATGTTCTTGACCTCATGTTCTTGACCGCATGTTCTTGACCTCATGTTCTTGACCTCATGTTCTTGACCTCATGTTCTTGACCTCATGTTCTTGACCGCATGTTCTTGACCTCATGTTCTTGACCTCATGTTCTTGACCTCATGTTCTTGACCTCATGTTCTTGACCTCATGTTCTTGACCTCATGTTCTTGACCTCATGTTCTTGACCTCATGTTCTTGACCTCATGTTCTTGACCGCATGTTCTTGACCTCATGTTCTTGACCTCATGTTCTTGACCTCATGTTCTTGACCTCATGTTCTTGACCTCATGTTCTTGACCTCATGTTCTTGACCTCATGTTCTTGACCTCATGCTTCACAACTTCGGGAAGATTCGTGCGATGAAGCGGGTCCTAAGTCAGGTGCACCGTGTGGTCATGATGGTGAAGGCAAGCGCCTCCGCCGTCACTCTCTTCCATGAGGTCTTTAGCGAGCTTGCCTTGGTGCGGCCTGGTGCGACTCGGTTTGGCGCGAACGTCATCATGCTTGCCCGATTCCTTGAAGTAAAGTAGGCGCTGCGGCAGATGGTCATAAGTGAGGAGTGGGAGGAGATTGCGGTGGCGAAGCAAGATGAGGGGAAGGCGGCCCGGCAGCTCCTCTTGGATGAGGTGTTTTGGGATTGCGCAACGGCGGTGCTCCGCATCATGCAGCCCGTGTATGACGTCCTTCGGATCGTCGACACACGGGCTCTAGTCATGGGGCAAGTGTATGGCCTCATGCTTGAGGCCACGGTGAAGACCAACGAGGCGGCCGAGGCTTGAGGTAAGACATACCTTTGCTTGCACGAATGGCATGAGCGTGATTGCATGCATACCCCATTCCTGCCCATACTTACCGCCCTTCCATGTGTTTGTACATGTCATTGGCAGCCGCCATGCTTGTCAAGCGCACGTCCCTGCTGATGGCAAAGGACAAGCCATCATTCTTGGCGGAAATCAATGCTATCCTAGCTAAGAGGTGGGACGGTCAACAGCATAACCCACTGCACGCTCTCGGGTGGCTCCTCAACCCCCGCAATCAGTCCATGGGGAAAGTGCGGAACGACAAGGAGGTGAGGAGTGGGGCGGAGGCGGTCATAGAAGCACGGGAGAATGATGTTGCCCAGCGCACCCTGCTCCAGACGCAGTTGGCCCAGTTCCACAAGGGCGAGGGGCAAGGTGGAAAAAAACGGTTGCGGTAAAAAACGATTGAAAAGAACGATCGTTTTTTACGGTCAAGTTTGGGAAAAAAACGTCGTTTTTTTGTTAGGCCCAAAATTAAATTCAAAAAAAAAAAAAAAAAAAAAAAAAAACCTAACAAATCCCTAGCCACCAACACTCTCTGGCAAGTCAGTGTTGATAAGTTTTCTAGCCTGATTGCAATTAAAATAAAATATAGAAAGGTCGTTACAGCTCATCACTCTCTATCTAACACCATCGATGTCACTAATGTCCCATGCGTTGGACCCCCCCTCCCCCTCCTCCTCCTCCTCCTCCTCCTCCTCCTCCTCCTCCTCCTCCTCCTCCTCCTCCTCCTCCTCCTCCTCCTCCTCCTCCTCCTCCTCCTCCTCCTCCTCCTCATCCTCCTCCTCATCATCGTCTTCGTCAGCCGAACGCTTCTTCTTAAGCTTCTTGGTCGCCTTTCCCTTGTTTCCCTTTGTCACCTCTTTCTTCTTCCTCTTCCCGATGCTGCCAAAAGCTTCCCAGTCAATCACGCAATCGACATCACCTTCTTCCTCTTCAACCCGTGGTTCAGAGCCTTCGGCCTGTGGTTCAGAGCTTTCGATTGCCGTCGTCGTCACTCTTTCTAGAGTGCTCTCGTTGAGCTTGCCTGCTGCTAGGTCTGCAAAAAGTTTGGCGCGCACTTCCTGCTTCTTGTCGAATGCAGCCCTCGAACGCCTACTGAATGCCACCATGGTGACATCGATCATGGTCTGAGCGCTCAGTCTGTTGCGATCACGCCGCTGCACCCTTGCCATCGCAGACCAGCACCTCTCAACTTCCGACGCTGTGATAGGCTGTGATAACATTCTCACAGCCAAATCTTGCAGCTCGGGGAGTTCCCCTCCATACATCGCCCACCAATCCGCATGTGAGAGACGTCCACTCTCCACGAGCATCGCTGCGGCCCGTGCATCTTCCCCCCCCAGACGACCCTCACCTCTGTGGTACGTAGCAAGCTGGGCTTGCAACAAGATACGGCCTTGCACGTCACCTCCTCGTGCCTGCAGCACAGCATTGACCCCTTTGATGATCTCGGGGTCGTTGCGGACTTCAATCGCAAGCTGGTTCTTCGGGTTAAGGAGCCAGCCGAATGCATGCATCGGGTTGTGCAACTGCTTATCCCATCTGCGCCTGATGATGCCCTTGATGGCCGCCAAAAACTTCGACCTCTCCTTCCCGGCGAGCACTTGGCTGTGACGCCTGAAGAATGTCGCAGCAAAGAAAGACATAATACCATTAGGGCACGAATCTGGTTTGGCTTAGGGTGCACTTGTAATGGGTGTGCAACACTGTTTACCTGCTCCCTCTGCCGCCTCATTGACCGCCACGGTCGCCTCGAGCATCATCCCGTAGATAGATCCCATCACAAGAGCTCTTGTGTCGACTGCTCGTAGCACATTGTAGATCGGCATCATCAGTTTCTGCACTGATTTGACCGATTCCCAGAAGATATCATCCAGAAGGAGTTTCCGGATTTTCTTCGCATCTTCGGTCTTAGACACTGCCACCTCCTTCCATTGGTCACTGATGACCATCTGACGAAGCTGTTCCTTGACCTCCAAGAACCGGGTGACCATGATCACCTGCGTGCCAAATCTGGTGGTATTTGGCCGAACAAGCTCCAGCTTGCTGAAGATCGTGCGGAAAAGGGCAACAGCGCTCGCACTTCCCTTGACCATCATCACGATGGGATGGACCTGGGTGAGAACTTTCTTCACAATGCCGATCTTACCCATGTCGTGGAGCATGAGATCGAGACAATGGGCAGCACAGTTGGTGAAGAAAATCGACGGGTAACCCTCACCGAGAATTGCGGCAGCACTCTTGTTATTACTTGCGTTGTCCATGACCACCTGAATCACCTTGGTGTCCCCCACCTTCACGATTGACGTCCTTATGAGATCAGACAGGTATGAACCTGTCTTCTTCGACAGCTTGGAATCGACAACTTTGACAATCACTGGTGCAGTGTCGCTGTGCGCCAACACACACACCAAGCCGCGACTCTTCAAGCACGACCATCCGTCGACGGAGATGGTGCACGACGTCGTTGCCCAAGAATCTGTCAAGGGCCGCACGAGTTCTTCCGTCTCTGTCTTCAATCTGGCGAGCAATGGGCCCGCGACTTTGTAGGCAGACGGGAGTGTGTAGGGTCTCCTAAAACTCACTAACACGTTCAGAAAGTTCTGGACCGCAACAGATCTGTGGGGTGTGGTATGAATGCCAGCAAAGCATAATATTAACAAGGTGAGGAGGAGCGTTGCAGCAGCAGCCAAATCATGATGGGCACGAATCTGCAGCAGCCATGAGATGAGCGCTAGCTATTACACCATAACTAATTAACACGTAAAATGGGGAGGGAAGATGTCCATGGAAGAAACATGGCACAAGGGTTAAGCGTTTCCACTCACTCAGAGACCCGAAACGCCCAATCGTTCTCTGCCACCGCAGTCACCCAGAGCAGATCGAGTTTCTCACGGCCCTTTTCGTCCGTGACGTCACGGATGTCGAGCTGGCGACCCTTCTTAGGGCCGTTCCCCACCAAGGATGTTGAGCTGCTCGGATTGCCCGTAGACGTTGCACTCTTGAGGCGGAGATTCACCGCAAAGTCAGACTTACAGACCCCTATGTTTTTCGGCTGACCTTTCTCGATCCCTACAATGTGGTCTTTGATTCGTGTAGCGCTTGCAGGAATGACAGTGGGTTTGTCCTTAGGGCAGTGAATGCACACATAGCCGACTTTTCCGTCTTTGTTAGTTACCTCCTTCACGTGGTCCCACAGTTCAGACCGTGCTCTAGTCATTGTGGATGAAAAACGGGCCTACTCGAACAAGAACTGGCTAGAATGGACGTGGAGTGCTGAAGACAATGGTGTGGTGGCTACTAATAACAACAGAAATCGTCCGTCGGCAAACGGCTTGCAGCTTTGCTGGGAGTATGCGTTCACGCCGGGCGTTGGATACTATCAGAGAGATTGGGCGTGCTACGCGCTAGTCCCGTGGAATTCGTGTCGGAAACCATGAATTCAGAAATTGCGTTACGGGAAGTGAAAGTGGGTAAGACGTGGCAACACTTGGAAGTCACGTCGCAAACCCAAATGTTAAAGTTTCGCTGACGTGCAGCAACAAAATATCATGTCGCAAATGCAACTGTAATTCTTCGCAGCGCTGCATTCATACGTGCGCTGACGCTTTTATGACGCGCGCGAAAAAAGCGAGAGCAAACTTTCCGATGCGAAACATTTTTCACGTCGCAACCAACCCTAGCATGACGAATTGATGCGTGCGTCAACTACCTGCGGTTCGAGGAACAAACAGAAGCATGAATCCTCCCGCTACCTCAACCCCTTGTGTTGCTTGTGTATAGAGTGAAACCCTTCACTGCGAGTTGTGCGTTTTCCGGAGATCATCGTAACTGTAAATTGTGGTACGAAATTTACAATCGTAAAAAACGATCGTTTTTTTTCACCAAAAAAAGACTAATAAATATTCTCTTTTTATTCCGTTTTATACGATCGTAAATTACGATATAAAAAAAAACGACAAAAAAATGAAAAAAGCGTCGTTTTTTTGCACCTTGGCGAGGGGCGGTTGGGGTCCCACAACCCACGGTGAGCTGCAACGGTTTTGGTGGCGGGGGGGCGCTTGACGGATGCGGAATGGTGGTGGATGTACGGGGGGGAGGTGGAGGCGCTGCAGGGGCATGCAGTGATGGCGCTGCAGGGGCTGTCACAGCCAGTAACGTCATCCGAGGTGGAGCGTTACTGGTCAGCGAATGCACGTGTGCAAAGGCGTGATCGTAACCGCATCTCCGCCAAGAAGATGACGGACGTGACTTATGTCGCGTTCACGAGGAGGGCTCGGGACACCTTTGACAGGAAGCAGAAGGCGAGGAAGAAGCTCTACGCCGATATGAGCAACGGCACCCTCAAGGAAGGGAGTGTCGTCGCTCCGGCAGAGGCAGAGGTGGAGGAAGAGGGGGATGATGAGGAGGGAGAGGTGAATGTGGAATGCACCATCGACTGGGAGCAATTCGGGCAGATTGAGAAGAAGAACAAAAAGGTGGGTGAAAGCTCCCAAGGAAGAGGAAGGGCAAGGCGACCAAGCCTCGCAAAGGTAAGGGGAAAGCAGTGGCTGCGCGTGAGGATGAGGAGGAGGAGGCGGCGGACAGCAGTGGCGATGAGGAGGAGCATGTGCCCACCACCAAGACTCGCCCGGGCTCGGATCCGTGGGATATTAGTGATGGCTCGAGCGGGGAGGAAGCGGAGGAGGAGGACGACGAGGAGGAGGAGGAGGATGATGAGTAGAGCTAGATGATGTAGGGGAGGGAGAGAGTCGTAGGGGGTGAGGAATAGAGTAGTAGTGACTGACTTAGTATAACTAGTAGTAGAGGGGAGGGGAGTAGTAGTAGACTAGAGGGGAGGGGATGTTGTGTGGTAGTAGTAGTGGTTGGTAGCTGGTCTCTGTTGTTTATTAGGCGTATGTGCACCCTCCAGAACTTGGAAGAAATCGTTTCTGGGATTGGAAGAGAAAAAAAAAAAAAACCCGAAAAAAACCCGATAAAAAATACGTCGTATTGTACCAGAAATGGCCGTAACATATGACCGTATAAAACGGACCGTATAATACGACTTCCGTATTTTTCATCCTTGGGTCGAGGTGAGTCAATGGGTCGAGGTGAGTCAATGGGTCGAGGTGAGTTAATGGGTCGAGGTGAGTCAATGGGTCGAGGCGAGTCAATGGGTCGAGGTGAGTCAATGGGTTGAGGTGAGTTAATGGGTCGAGGTGAGTCAATGGGTCGAGGTGAGTCAATGGGTCGAGGTGAGTCAATGGGTCGAGGCGAGTCAATG